CTCTCTCCTACATTTAACAACTTAAAGTGTCTTTAAATAGATTTATATCGAATTCAAATTTCTTAAAAATAATCTACCATAATTTAAAAGATAAACTTCAACTAATAACATGATTTTTAAAAAATAAATATATTCTAAATATAACTAAAGATAAATCCTATTTAAATTCAAACTAATAAATAAAATAAATTATAATTTTTACATTTATATTCAACACTCTCCCATAATATAGAAATTGTAATCACTAAATTTATTTTGTTGGAGCACATCTCTCCAATATTTCTTGTTTGATCTTTATATTCTGAAGCACTTCTTTTTAATTGTTGATGCACTTCTCACCAACATTCGATTATTGATGTACTTGTCATCAATCTTCAATTATTTGATGCACTTCTCATCAAAACCCTTAGAGCACTTCTCTCCAAATTTTAAAAAAAAGGAGTTTCTTCTTCTTCTTCAACAACATTTATTTGTTCATTCTTCAACATGCAATTTTTTTCTTGTATATGCTCAAATATTTTACAATAAAAATATTATGATTTACCTTTATGCCAACAATCTTTTTCATCATGATTATTTTTCTTGCATACTTTGCATGGTGAAAAATTTTCCTTTTTGATGTTGATGCAGACTTCTTTGACATCTTAGTAATGAAGACTCCCTCCATGTTTTTTTTTCTTCTTTTCCTCGTTGCTCTTCTCTCTATATTATTTTTTTATATACTCATAGGTAGTAAAGGCTCTGATACCACTTGTTGGGATTTTTCTCAGAATGAAAAAAATCTAAATTTTCATTGACTTCATTCACTCCACATTTAACAACTTAAAGTGCCTTTAAATAGACTTACATTGAATTCAAATTTCTTAAAAATAATTTATCATAATCTAAAAGATAAATATAAATCAAATCTTCTAAAAGATAAACTTCAACTAATAAGATAATTTTTGAAAATTAAATATATTTTAAATCTAAGTAAAGATAAATTCTATTTAAATTCAAACTAATAAATAAAATAAATTATAATTTCTACATTTATCTTCGACAAAAAGATGTAAGGGAACCAACAGTCCAGATTTGTCCTGGACATGGGACGACTCCTGCAAACCATATAAAAGCCTCTATTTCTCAGCTGCCCTAGTAGAAAGAAAACCCTAGCAGAAGGGAGAGGCGGCATGAGAGAGGCGAACAACGAGGTAGGAGGGCGAAAGGGAAATCTGCCGTCGAAGGGAGAAAGAGAGAAGGTACTCATGGCTCGGTGTGAGGTAAAACCCAGTCCCAAACCGAAATGAAAATCTTGAGATTCTTTTACCATTTCATAATAATTTTTTAGAAGTTGATGCAAAGCATCATATATTAGTAGTTAACAGAGATTTGAGGAAAAAAAAAGATAAAATTAGAAGGAAAAAAAAGGATGTGGAATGCTAACATTACACTAGCATGCATTATGTTTAGATTTGCAGTAAGCTAAACTTAAGTGAAAGCCAAAATTCTAACCCCAATTTTAAAATAAATTGTGGCCATGTTTAGGTAAGTATTGGGCTAGTTTCTTTGAAGACCCATTATCTTTTTAAGATTTTATATTTTTATTGAAAATAATCTCTTCTGAAAATGTTTACAAATCATTACCAACTTTTTGGGTTGCATTCTGTAATATACATAAATCAGATTTATCATATGTGTGAGCATCTGGGTGTGATTGAAGATTCATGTAAAATTTGTTAGGCTTGTACTTTTGTGTGTGTGTGTATATATATATATGCAAGTATACGGGTGTGTGTAGGTCCTACTCTGTGTGTGTGTGTATATATAGATATATATAAGGTAGGCATGGTGATGTATATACATTATAGATACTATATTTGATCGAAATACATAAATTGTAAATATAAGTTATAAGCTGTGTAATGCATGCTACATGCGAAGATAATATTAATTAAATGTACAAATGTGTCTATACATTATAGATAATAATGTATGGGAGCGTATGTCTATAAATTGTGTATGTGTTAGTATATCTATATCGGTGATGATGTGGATGAGAGTATGTAGAAATGTGCATGAATATGGGTGTGTATGCGATGTATAATATATGTATTTATTATGAGTTTGTACATGTATGAATGATGTTCAAGTATATATGTATAATATAAAATTTTGGTTAAAATAGCAATGAAAGTGATATAAATTTGGAGGTGATAAAAAAAATTATGAATGGTATATGTAGACATATTTTAGAAAAACATGTAAGGGGAATATGTGAGAAGTAAGAAAATAGTTAACTTGTCAAAGGAATAATGAATAGGGTAAATTAGTAAATTTGATTGATCAAACAAGAATTTAGTATAAGAAAATTCTATTTGAGGTAAAGAATTGAATTATTATAGGAATAATATGAAATTGAGTGATAAGAGAAGGTGAAGAAGGATAATAAATGAAAGAAAGAAAAAGGAATTTAATAAGTAAAAGTAAGTTAGGTGTAAATTTAAAAGATGTGAGTCGGTGTCAATCCTTTAAAACTTTTTGATCATGTATCAAGGATGGGTCTTAATTTTTTATGTTTGCTATTATTCTCTCAATCTTAATGAAGTTCCATGATTTGATCTTGATGTGTTTTGTTATGTCATGACTACCTATGATGATAATTATAACATCGAATCTATATGTAATGTGACAAGATTGTTTGTGGAAATAGTTTAGCAATGAAAGGATTTGACCTTATTTAGTTTATTTAAGTTTAAGAGTTTAGTATCTTCTACATCTTTTGAGTCGTGACATTTGTTATTTTGTCTAAATTGAATATTTTTTTACATGAGAAAGACGCTTTTTGGTATATAATTAGATACATATATATGCAAAATGAAAAAAAAAATAATAAGCACCAAAATAAAATACTCCACTGATCACGTGGGAATGATAGTATTGTATAGTAAGTGACTAAGAGTAGAGATAATAGCCATTCAGAAATGTGACCAACTGAGTAATCGAGTGCTGACATCACAAATGTTTGCATTTGTGCAAAAAAGTTGACTGACATTTCGAACAAGCTAAAAATGTGCTAAATAAATGAATAAATAAATACCATATAGTAATAAGCACCAAAATAAAATACTCTGCTAATCACATGGGAATGATAATACCATATAGTAAGTGATCAAGAGTAGAGTTAATAGCCATTCGGAAGTGTGCCCAACTGAGTAACCCAGTGCCGGCATCACAAATGTTTGCATTTGCCTAAAGAGGTTGACTAACATTTCGAAAAAGTTAAAAAGGTGCTAAATAAATAAATAAATAAAAATAAACTTACAGTATATCTATTCTTTTGCCAATTGAGCTTGATTTTGTTTTGGGTTGTAAAGTTTGAATATATATGAATGATTGAATAACTTAGAATATTTTAGATACTTAATTTCTAAGAATAAGACGAGATTAATTGAGGCTTATATTTAGAAGTTGCTAAATTGTTTTCCAAAGATGATTGTGTTTTTATACATATTATTTTGTGTTATCTTGAGGTAATATAGTCTTGATGAGGGTGATTTCATTAATGGTTTTGCTGTGGAATGGATTTAAGACTGCTTGAGGACAAGTAAAATCTTAAGTGTGGGGTAGCTGATATAATTAAATTTGATAGATATTTTTCTATTTTATTTAAGTTGATTTTGATTGATTTTTGCCACATATATTGTTGAATTATTCTTAACACTTTTTAGGAATGATTTTGGAATTTGGAAGCAAATTGTAGTTGATTGGAGCAAGATTTTGGCAAAAAATGATTGAAATATGAAGATATCGGAGACATGGGCATAACACACGGCCATGTGTTAAGAAGCTAACATTTATCCTTTTA